CTATTTTGTCTTATCTCTGCGTTCCACAGCCCAGTAATGGTCTACGTAAGTTCACCACTAGGTTTGGTCGCAAAGAATCAGATACGGTTTTGTTGACCTTTGTATGTGCGTGTCTGTATTAGTGCGTGTGCAGATTGTTAATGGTACTCCTGTCTCCGGGGGAAGCCCTGAACCCGTTGTTCACAAACTCCCTTATATGGTTATGTAAACACAGCACTTTTGAAACTCCTGTGGAGCGTGCAGACAAAACTGAATGAACACAGGAAGACCCGTTCTGGCAGGAAGTGGCAGCTGCTGCCATGGTAACAAACTGAAACTCAAAAGCAGCAAGGGTGAAAGACTCGACTTTCTCACCGTTTTGACGTCATTTCTGGTACGCTACAACTGAAAGGAAGTTACCCACAAAGGGGAAAGTAAATAAATACAAGAAAGAAAGGGATTTCAGCAGAGAGAGAAAAAAAACTAAACGAGTAATCAGTCAGTCTGATAAAGTCCCTGCTTCTTCAACAGCATTAAAGACAATGTTTAAAAATCAACACCAAACATTTACAGTAAAAACTAGCATGGATCTAGGAAAACATGAAAATGTTTTTGGAGGCAGCCCTTTATGTTTTTTTAACACTAACTGTGATTTGCATGACCATGACATTGTTGTTTTTAAAATAAATAACATTTTTCATTGCCTCATTTTCCAAAAAAACACAGAGCTGCAAAAAATAATAATACGTTTTTTTAATCAAATATTTTCAATTAAATAGGATAAATGTATTGTCAATAAAATAAATACAAGTTATCATTACATTTTAATCCACAAACTGGAGCAATTTTATGCAAAATTAATATAAAATGCAAGAAAACAATTAAGTTTTTGTTGTTTGGAAGGAACAACTTATTTCACATCCCTGCAGGAGATTCATGCCAATAAAACAGAGGTTGTCCTCTTTTTTCTTTAATCCTTAGCTGCACATGTGAAGCTTTGGCACTATGTTGGCGTTTTACATTATTTTGTATTAGCTGCAATGCCTGTTATGCATGTGTTAGTGACAAGATAGTTGGATCTCTGTATGAAAGAGAATTGATTTCACTGGTGTTTAAACTAATAGTGGACAGTTGTAGGAGGTTTCAGTTTGTTGACGTTCCTATCCATAATTTTGCTTAGCCAACATACACACTTGTCTGAACAGATTTGGTCTCAGACCCCACTCTCCTTCTTTTTCCTACAGCACTTTGAAAAGCAAGGGACAGGTGGTGGTGAAGTGACCCCCCTCAGAAATGTGCTTCAACTCATTACCCCTCTGTCTACACACACACACACACACTGAGCACTTTGAATGGACAGAAGGCATCTCTTAGCCCCCTATGCTAACAATTACAGTATACGCCTAATGGTAATCCAACTGTAATCTGATTTTGATTGTAATCCTAATTCCAAACTAAACCTTGAACACCCAAATGTCCTCTCAGTATATCCAATCAAAGATATATTTTGTATACATGTATACAAATTATAGATAGATAGAACTATTAATCCCATGGGGAAATTATTTTATATGTACAGATTTACAGTGTTGTATTGTCGTAAAGTGTTTTATAATAATAGCATTATTTTAAAAATAGCCTTTTTCTAGTGAGTAGTTATAGGACAAGTAGTAATACTTTTTTAGTAGTAGTAGTACTAGTGGTAGCAGAAGAGGTAGTAGTGGTAATAATGTTGTTATTGTTTTTATTGATAATAATAAAATGATAGTAATAATTTGTACTAATTAAACCTTTTTTAAGTTTTATCATTCTGATTTTCGTCTCAGTTTGAACGATAACTCTTGAGAATACCACCATGTCACTTCCTTTACTCTATTAATGATGTCATGTATCTGCCTTGAGTGACACATCAGCAGCCACGCAATAGATACCCCTGAGTGTGATCCAATTGTCCATGGTGGGATCAGTGGATCATGCAGGACCCTCCTGCTATGCTGCCCTCCCTCCTACTTCCCCCTGAGCAACAGTATGGGGGCCTGTGGTACAACAGGGGCAGGCTGGGGGAAGGGGGTAAGGGGAGGAAGGGGAGATCAATAGGGATTTAGTGTGTTTTATTGTGTGTGTGTGTGTGTGTCTGGTGTCTGTTTCCCGTTCCTGTTGTGTGTGTATGTGTCTATTAAAGTGGTGTGGCAGCGGTGGAAGGGAGAGCAAAGTCTTTTAGTTCAATGCTGTGGTTGTGACTGATAGGGCAGTGGGCCCCTGTGTGTGTGGGGCCCCCGGGGACCGTCTTTGTATTGGCAGACTCTGTAGAGAGGCTTTCTGTTCCCCCATCGATCCCAACATGTCAATTAGACAGACTCAAATAAATGTGCCCTCCACATCAACGGGTCGCCCGTATGCAGAGGCTCCCATGTAAATGACACCCTCACATTAGACCCCGTGTCATCGGAGCCGAGCCAATACCGAAAGGTTCTCTGGGTTAGAATTGACCCAGAGGTTTTCCTCTGCACAGATTGTTTTACGTGTTGACCCTGAACACATGTAGCTAAATCTTCTCTGAAAAAAAAAAACACCAACTCCAACAACTGCAGACTGTTTCAACAATGTGTATAATGATGTTGTATGAGGAGAGTTGTTGAAGGACACAATGTGCAAAAGCTTTGCTGTAAAACAGGAACATTATTAGATTAGAATTTCAAGCTCAGTTAGCTAAGCTAAACAGCTTAGCGGCTAAACAGATCCTCCCATTCCTGGCAATGGATTATTAAGAGCAAAGGTTTGTCATATCACACCTGAATGATCAATATGTCTCCAAGGCCTGCAGGTCAGTTTGTATGGCTCAGCACAAAGACTAACAGTGATCTAATCCTTCTGACAACACTGACTGTTGAAACAACAAACAGAGTATTACATGAAGCGTGAGGCCTTTTTTTTCTGCAAAGAAATTCCAACAAATTACATTGATGGTGAATGTTATTTAACCCCTTGTACCTCATTCTTTTCTTTTTTAAATTTTTTTTAAATGACAAAATCCCACTTAAATGATGCGAACAGACAAAAATCTAATAGTATTTAGCATAGAAATGCCAAACCACAACAAAACCAATTTAGGGTTGAGTTTTTGAAAGATTATTTCTAGAGCATCATCTAGACAAGAGCGCCTCCATTCAGCAACTTAACAATTAGCCTTTTTATGCTAGTATTTTGGGGACTTCAGGTTTTACTACGTTAGTTTTAAATATTTAACATTAGTCCACCTTTCTCATTAAAGAAAACAACGATCAACTAGAAACCAAAAAGCTTGTTGACTGAAGGGTTTGCTTCACAATGTAAATGTTCTCCCTATTTTAGACCCTGACGATGGACACAGACCCAGGGTCACAAATGGACTTCTGAAGAACCTGGATGAGACCATAAAATTGACTGTGTCCAAACAAGCCCGCCATTAAAGAGACAGATTGGAGAAACGGCTCTTGAAGGTAATGACAAGGAGAAGTAAGTGACCCCCTAACAGAATGTGATAAACCGTACTACCTCTGTCTGTTCCCCTCACCCTGTCTCCCCCCTCCTGCTCCGAACCAACTCCTCTCCATCACACTCCACACCCACCACCTTGGGTGCCACCTTCTTTTGGCTACAGCACCCTTCATCCACCTTCTTCTCCCCACCCCTGAACAGTGATCAGTGGGATTTACTGTGTGGTGGTCCGCAGTCTTCAGCCGGTCACACACGCCCCCTGGATCGATCCAGGTCGAATTCAATTTGTACGATATTATGTATTGATCGGTGTGCTGTGTCCTGCCCCCCCCCGACACCCTCTGTGAAGCCCCAGCAGGTGCTCATTGACCCAAACGCACAATTCCTTGGCTCATCATCATTATACAAGTGTGGCAGCCTGAGCTGTACGATTAAGGTCGGTGGCCTTGGGCACATCAAGGTGACCCTCCATTAAATCTACAGCCCAGGTCCACACTGTGCGTCCACTTTGGACACCGTAAAAAAAGTCATGTACTACTACTACTGTGATAAAATACAACTGGATGTGTGCTGGGGGACTAGCTGTAGATTTATTTTCAGAAAAACTAAATGTTGATTATCGGCAGAGTTGGACTGAAAGAGATTCTCTTTGAGTGGCAAAGGAGTTGCTTTTCTCAAGAAAGGTTTGATTTAATGCATTTTAGTGAAAGACAATCAGGTCTCTGCTGGTGATATTTCACTAATGTCTGCTTGGTGACTGAAACCTTTTGTAAATTAAAAAGACATTACAATAGCAGCAGCTGCCCTGTACCACCTCCCAAAAACACTGCTGTGCAATGTCCACATTTATTTTTGTAGAAATAGATTTATTGGTAAGAATGCCACCCTGACTCACCGCATCCTTTGTCTGTGTATTATATTTGCCTGTTTTTAAGAGGCAGACGTGTCCAAATGCAGTTTTTAAATCACAAGTTGTTGCACGTCCCTTATGATGAAGTGTTAGGGCCACAGTCAGAGTAAAACAATGAATAAAATCACAAGAAAAGGCATAAAGGCTACAAGACAATAGTAGTCATAAAATAAAGTCATATGTTTACAAGAGTAAAATCTTGAGGTCAGAGTATAAAGTTGTAATATGAGGAGAAAATAAAGTTTATGAGACTAAAGTCATAAGTTTACAAGAAAAAAGTCCAGGTTTATTACATTAAGTCGTAATATAAGTATAAACCTAAAAAAAAAAAAAAAAACTTTCTTTTTACGTTAGTGATGTTATATAGAAACAAGAATCAATGGTTAAATCCAAGCTGATTAAATCACTGGAAAAAAAATTCTGAAAAATTGTATGACTTTAGTACAAAATCCAAAACAAAACCAAATTTCATAAGACAACAAATCACTTCCTCGCAGTGTTTTTTAAAAAAAATCCAAGCTGAGTTTCAAAATCCAACACAGGTCAACAGAGAAAAACCAGGGCCAAGACAGTATCGAACGTCTGACGAAACAGCACCAGAGTGACACAAACGGATGAGCTCAGCTTTTATAGATAAGAAAAATAAGGTCACTCACTAACAGGGGAGAAAGCGCAACGCCAAGGTGAGCAATGGCTATGACATTTTACAAACTAGGCTAATTCCCCAGAAAATTTCAAAAGGGCATGTTGAAAATAATTGCATCACCGTGGTCATCATGTTGAAAGCATGAGTCACATTTTTTGCCTTTTTTTAAAATCTGTATTTTTCTGCCACGAAATGGTCTCGTCATAATCTGTTACAACAACCAAATGGCTAAATTACCAAAAAAAGAAATCTACACTGAATTAGAATCAGGTGGCAAAATTAGAAAAGCAGAAATCTTATTAGAAGAAATACAATTCCAACTCTTATCTCTGGGAGACATTCACAGACATCCTTTGTCTGAAATGGAAGACACGTGGGACCACATGATTGCACATGTGTCCTCAGTTGGTAGCGATGCCTCCATGGACGCAGTGAAAAACAGAGAGCGGTTACAGACAAAGACGGCCTCAGTCTCTGTGGGCTAAATGTAGGCCTGGCACTGTGGAGTTTCCTCGGCAGCATGTGGGATTCCCTCTGTTTACCCCACCACTTCCTGTCCCAGCAAGGAAGCATGAAACACTCTCCAACTTCTGTGGCAGGAAACTTGAGCCTTCTCTGCTTCGTGACTCATTGTGACCCACAGCCAAAACCCTCGTCATATGAATCTCTCAGAAAAGTCCATAGGGACAATTACAGAATTGAATGCTTAAAGAAATATAAATATGTCTGCATTTACCACCAGTGGTTCACAGCCTTCTTTATGTTGTTTTTTTGTGACCCCATTTTGACATCAAATATTTCTGGCGACCACAGAGACGTTAGTTTGTTCTAGAACAGTGGTTCTTAACCTGGGGTTCGATTGAACTTCAGGGGTTCGGCGGAGGACAAGACACACACCCGACTCATATGATCCGAGATGACACGCCCCCTCTTGGCCATCACCGAAGGGTTCGGTGAATGCGCATATTAAACTAGTGGGGTTCAGTACCTCCACCAAGGTTAAGAACCAGTGCTGTAGAATGAGCTTTTGGTCATGTTTGTTATACCACGTTGCAAATGCAGAGTAGCAAGAAAAGAGCACAGAGTGTGTGCGGTTTTTAATGTTATATTTTTATTATTTTTTAAACAATAACTAGACATTTCAAATGACCCCATTTGAAGTCCAGGCAACCCCACATGAGGCCAAGACCCCAAGGTTGAAAAACACCACCTTTTTTTTTTTTAGATTAAACAAATTTAAGGTTTTTTTTGTTTGTTTGTTTTTTTGAGAAGCAGGTTTGTAGGTCTCGCCAGAATAATTCTCGGTTGATGAGCATAGCATTGTTGCTTCCTGTGTTGTTCCTGTATGTGCAGAACTTTTTCTCTGACATGTAGGCAGAAACTGGAACCATGGGGTTTGACGAAGGTCTCGTCTATCTGCTGAGCTACAGCACCAGTCCACTTTAATTAGTCCACCAATGTTAGTTATTACCGTTTTTGACTTCTATTACATTAGATCAAGTGACAGTTCAAGACAAAATGGGTCCTAACAGGACAACCAGGACACCACAGAAACAATGGAAGGCAGAAAATGTAATATAGTATGAAGTAGAGGCTGAAAGAAATCACAGACACCAATATGAAACAGTAGTATGAAAATAATCCAAATCACATTTGGTCTCATTTCTCCTGAGGGATTCAATCTCTTTAGATGTGGCTAAAAATACCAGTCAAATTTAAAGTAGTACCAACCATCAGAAACAAAACAGAAACCTAAAGTGATTATTCAGTTGGAACATCTGTGTGGACTGCAAATAACATTATCAATAGTGAAAAAAACAAACACCTCTCTAAGTCACCAACGTCATTAGTATTTGTCTCTGGGCAACAATGTTCCATATTCCAGTTCACTCTGTTATTTTTCCACCTTTGCCTTTCACAGCGCTGTACTACTAGCCAAGGCCAAAGGGCAATGGATCTGAAGGTGGATTATGATATGAGAAAACAAACACTTTTATCTTAGAGCAGGGGTCATTTACTACTGGACAGACACCACTCAAATAACATGACATAGAAATACTGTCTTTGTCTAACGGAATGTAAATGTGGTCAGAAATGGTTGAGATCACTGATAGTTGTTTTAGTTTCAGGTGTTGTTTTATGCAGTTGTTTTAAAAGTGGTCCGCTGGGCCGGATTGGGCCGGATTTGGCCAGTAGGCTGCCAGTTGATGATCACTGCCGATGCATCAGGGTTTATTTCTGTTTTTCCGCTCTCTGTGCCTGAAATCCAGTAAAAAAACAGCTAAGCAAAATCCTTGAACTAGCGTGTCACACAGTATAAGCACGGACCGAACGATGAGTGACTGTTGTTTTTCTTAGTGCTGACTCTCTTGCAAGTGCACTTCCTTCCTTTCTTCCTCCCTTCACTTCTCAATTGTCTATGTTGTCATGGGCCGACATGCAGAGACACGGTTGGCTGTGAGGCTGGACTACATCAAACACGACACCAGACACTCCAGCTGGAAGACAGACAGGAACTGTGAAGCTCTGCTCAACTTTGTCACTGTCTGTTCCCTAAGAAAGAAAGAAAAGAAAGAAGGTAGTTGTCCCGCGAAGACAGGCGAAGACGAGCTGCATACATCGGCAGTGGGGATGTCAGGCAGGTGGGAAGTGATGAAAAACAACGCTCCGTCTGCTTTTTGTCAGCATGTTCTATTCTGAACCGATAGTTCAAGGATTGAGAGAATAGAGATAGTGGCGTTTACGTTGAGGGTTAACAGAATCGTCGTTTATCTGGAAGTCCTTCTTCTTTCACCAAAACATAATATAAAGATGAGTTACATTTAAATAATTAACAAAACCAGGTTCATACAGTTTTTTCGCCCCTGCAGACTTGACAATTTGATGATTTAATGACCACTGATTTAAAGGACACGGGAGATAAGGAGTGTTGCGGTGTGTGTTGTAGTGTCTGCGTAATTAATTTTTGGCTAAATAGAATATTGAAGAAAGGGTTGATGGGAAAAAAACATTGCAGGACAATCAGCTCTGTGCTCGGCTGGATGAGATCAGCCTTCTGATGTCTGTCGCTCGACACAAATTGTCTCAGGCAGTCTGGGAATTATTGATCTTTCCGATTGATCCGCAGCTTTGTCCATCTGTCTGATCCAGGCCGTAATGTCACAACGTACGGACGAAGAAGCGCTGGAGAGAGTACGGAGGCAAAGCAAAAAAAAAAAAAAGATGAAACGGATAAGAGCGTAGATACGAGTGTACGCTGGGAACAGCAGAGGCCGACTGGGAGTTGGGGGAAGGGGGCTTTTCTAGTAAGTCTAGTCTGGACAGCTGGTGTTGATAAGTAATCTGCTCATTGTCGGAGCATTCTGTAGAACATGAAACCCAGCAACTCGATAGCATGAATTAATAAATGAACAATTTCTTCCACGACGGGGGCCTCTGGGGGCCCG